TAGCAACCCCTCCTTGGGTTTCCAAGGCAGTATCACTACGGAAGTAGGATTGCCCAACCTTCCTTCCGAGGAGTGGCTGATGGGTTTGAACCGCCAGCCATCTGGTGAGCAGTCAAGTGCCTTAGCCACTATGCTACCAGAGCTCCCCCTTTCTGCCCTAGTAGATGGTTATTGATTTGTTTAAACCAATGATATGGTCTTATTCTCCCTGATAGTTATTATGGAGGCAAGACTCTTGACCTAATCCTGATCAATGGGTGTTTAAGGAGAAGCATACTGCGGGAGCTGCTAAAAACACTTCCCTCAATAACAAAAAGAGATGTCTGGGAGGAAATGCCTCTTTTGTGTTTTGTATATTGTTTTTCATTGGACATCTGGAACTGCTTAGTTCATGAATGAAGACAAGTTTGACACCTGAATGTGGTAGGGAAATGGACAACATCTGGGTCCATGATAATGTTTTACTGCTAAATTAACCAACTAGGGAAACTCCCTGCTTCTGAACTTATTTTGTGAGATCAATAGCCCTCCTGGTTAGGCCACTTTCAGCTTGGTTTTCTTTTCTTTTTTTCTTTAGTATTTTGTTGTTGAGAATATCCACAACAGAACATATACCAGTTAAACAATTTCTACTTGTATAATTCAGTAATAGTGATTATATTCTTCAAGTTGTGCAGCCATTCTCATCTTCCTTTTCTGAATTGTTCCTCCTCCATTAACATAAACTCATTGCCTCCTAAATTTCCTAATGTTTCAAATTGCTGTTGGCAAATGAGATCCCATTCAGATAGTTCTTAAAAAAGCACACTACACCAGGCAGATGTTCTTTACTAGTTAAGCTAAACTGTTGTTTGGTGTTAAGACTTTAGGAGATATTTCTGGTTTAGGGTTTAGCTCGGTTTTCTGTTACTTAAACTGAAAACTCCCAAGTGACATACTAACTAATCCTAATTTATAAAGATTCTTTAGAAGTGAAGCTGTTATGTATTTCCCTGCATTGTATCCAGTCATATTAATAAAATCTAATGATCATAAATGAATAACTATCCAGGTCTCACTTTCTCACAGTATCTAAAGTAGTTTGCTTCTTTATTTTATGCTCTTTAAAACAAGGAACTCTGGTGGTGTAGTGGTTATGGCATTTGGCTATTAACTGGAAGGTTGGCAGTTCGAATCCACCAGCCACTCCACAGGAGAAAGATGAGGCAGTCTGGTTCCATAAAGATTTACAGCTGTGGAAACCCAGTGAGGGTTTTTATGAGTCTGAATTGACTCAATGGCGGTAAGTGTCTTTAAAACACCAATCTGGAGCTATGTTGTGAATGGTAATCTTTATTTATAACTATGTAAATTCAAGAAGAAGCTCTGGTGGCACTGTGATTAAGGCATTGGGCTACTACTATCTAGAGAGTCAGCGGTTCGAACCCACCAGCTATTCCTTGGGAGGAAGATGAGGCAATCTACTTCTGTAAAGATTTGCAGCCTTGAAAACTGCTATGGGGGTTGCTGAGTCCAACTGACTGGATAGCTTGCATATGTAAATTCAGTGTTCTGCAAATAGCAATCTTTAATTATCTTGCAGTTAAGGAGATTAAAGGGCTCTGGTGGTGTAGTGGTTAGGACATTTGACTGCTAACTAGAAAGTTGGCGGTTCAAAACCACCAGCTGCTCTGCAGGAGGAAGATGAGTCAATCTACTTCGGTAAAGATTTATAGTCTTAGAAACATAGTAGAAGTTGCTATGAGTTGGAATTGACTCGATGCCAGTGGGTGGGTAAAGAAATTAGCTCTCCCAGATATAATGACTTCTACATTCATTTTAATATTCAATTCCATGATAATTCTGATGTTGTTTTTGTTTTATA